TGGACATGGGGCACATTGTCTGGTCATTCTCACAGTGAACTCTGACCTCTCAGTTGGCACAGTTTTCACGCAGTGAACTCTGACCTGTCCCGAGTCAGTCTCACAGTGAACTCTGACCTGTCCCGAGCCATTCTCACAGTGAATTCTGACCTGACGTTGACACCCCTCAACGATGATGAGCTTCTGTTGGGGTGAGGTTCTAGCGAAGACGATCTCAGTATGGTTACGGAGAATGTCATCGATCTGCTCGCCGGTCAGATCTTTCAGATCCGTGCCGTGGATCACACATGCCTTAGCGTCCCTGCAAGGAGAATGGGAATGTCATTGATACTGGAAACAGGCACAGACAGCTAACAGATAGGGAAGAATGTGAGACAGGACAGGAACAAACAAGGGAGAGGCTCATCATTAAACGGTATCGGGTGCCGCAGCTGAGAGAGAGTGAGCCTAACGTCCAATAACAGATGTGTTCACCCAACTTACAACTGAGTTCTCGCTCAGAGGTTTGTATTTGTGGAGGAACACCCTCAAACAAAGGTCTAGAGTCACCTCCACAACAACGCCACCTAAAAAGAATGGCATCAGAGGGGGGGCGCCGCACTGTCGCAGGGTCAGTGCTGAGGGAGCGATGAACTGTCGGAGGGTCAGTGCTGAGGGAGTGTATGAAATGGTTCACTGAGCCGTGGGATCATTGTGTCCCCGTGCTGCCCTCCCTGAGTCTCTCACCTTGGGTTGACCTGACTGACTGGGATGTTTAATCGAGCCGCAATATCCTCCACGGTCTCATTGCCTTCTGATATGATGCCCACTCCCTTGGCAATGGCCTTGGCAGTGATTGGGTGGTCTCCAGTCACCATGATAACCTGTGGGGAAGGTATCATTAGCTACAGGCTTTGGAATCAAACCACTTTCCGAGATACACCCAGAACTAGCTCCTGAGGGCAGGAGGCTAATCTTGCTGCCCTTCACACATCCCCAAAGGTGCTGACTCCCTCCTTCCCTCTCCTCACGCACGCTGTTTTATTCTCTCACTGTCCGTCCCTCTCTCTCCCTCTCATCTGCCTCTCTCCCCTGAAGGTCCTGACTCTTTCTCTCTCTTTCTCCCGAAACTTCTCACTCTGTCGTACACTCTTCTTCTTTTTCTCACCGTTTCTCCATCTCTCCTCTCGCTTTCCTACTCTCTCCCTGAAGGTGCTCTCTCTCTCTCTCTTCCTCTGTCTATTTATCTCCGCGCTCTCCTGAAGGTGCTGACTCGCTCCCTCTCCCTCCCTCTCTCTCTCCTGAAGGTGCTGATTCGCT